AGAGAATCTTTAGGAGACCAGAGGCAGAGCTTTAGCTTTTCTACCCAAATCTTCCCACTGTTTAAATAATTTCATCCTTCCTGTGTCCCCCAAACCAGAGATGTTCTTGATGTGGACAGCAGATACTCCTGAACAGGCTCTGAAAGGAGGGGGGGGGGGCTTTTTCCTATCACCAGCTGTCTGGCAGAAGTGATGTCTTGTGTGTGATTTTAAATACATCAGGGCATCATTCCTGCAGCCCCTTGTCCCTTGTAACTTGTGTGCGTGCTCCTCATGCTCTTGTTACCTGTGCTTGGGATGGAAATAGACCCAGGAAACACCACTTGCATTTATGTCGTAGGGAAGGCACCTATCTGGGGGTTGGACAGGGGATGTGTGTACACTTTCCCTCCTTTGGTTTCAACTTGTGCAGAGTGTTTCCCCTTTGAGGTCCATGTCTGTAAGCGGTAGGACTGAGCTGGGGTATTTACAGGTGTCCCATCCTCTGATTATGCCTCCAGTGCCTCCTGAAGGAGCCTTGTCCTGTAGAAGAGACCTTCTGCATTTCCGAGATCAGTTTCCATGGCTAGGAGACATGATTAACAGCATTATTTTTCTAGGACACAGTCTGGGAGGTTACCTGTCCTCCTTCTACAGCCTCTGGCATCCTGATGTGTTAAAGTCTCACTGGTTGTGGAGGAAATTTGGACCTGAACAGACATATTGCCCTAGGGTTTCTCTGCACTGCCAATAAGGGGACTGGGAACTTTTCCCTTGGTCAATGTCCATTTTTGTTGTATCTCTGAGAATAATCATTTGCCTGTGTCCCCTCTCTTCTCCAGCACAGGAACAAAGGCATGTGTGGGAATGGGTTCCGCAGCCATGTCCCTTGCTTCTTCCCCCAAATGCTGGCAACTGCTGCTCCTGCAGAGGTCCTCTGCATATTCACATCTACAGAGAAACATCAGAAACTGTAGGGTTTCCCCTTCGCCTTGCCAAACCCAGACAGCTCTATGACACAATGTCCTGGGTGAAGATGGTGGCTGCAGTCTTGGGGCACTCCAAAAATAACGGTGGTGCTCAGGATTGCTGGGACTTGTGGGAACTTGCCATGCTAGTGAGTGAAAAAAGGAATGTGGAAGTCCCCTCCTTTCATTAGAGAATGCCTGCATTTTATGTTCTCTCCATGGCCCTGAAGAACAATGTTTGGGGAGGGAGATAACACTTGCTACCCCAGAGCTAGGCTGCACATAAAATACTGGTGAGCTGTGGAATGGAGATGTGATTATAAAGTGGTGGATCTCCAAGTTCAAAAGGTGATGATCATGATCAATACTGCAAAGTCCAACTGGCTGATGGTTATTAGTGGAATCCTTCAAGGATCAACACTATCTTTTTAACAGCCTGGATGATGCGACTGTTCATTCTCAGCTAGTTTGTGGATGATGCTGAGTTGGAGGGAGGAATCGATAAACTGTATGGCAAGACTGCTATTGAGACTGACTTTGACAGGCCAAGTAATGTATCAGAGGAAACACCATCAAGTTCAGTGAAGTCCTGATCCTAATGTGGCATAACCTCATGGAACAGAAGTCTTGGGGCTGGTTGGCTGGAAAGCAGCTTTGCAGAAAGAGGCCTGGAGTTACAGTGAACAAGTGAACATGAGTCAGTAAAATTCTGGGCTGTCTTAAAAAGAACATCAGTAGCAGGTCAAGGAAGGTGATTCTTCCCCTCTGTTCAACACTTGTGAAACCCCTTCTGCAGTACTGGGTCTAGACTGGGACTCCCCAGGACATGGCAGACTTTGGTATAATAGAGCAAGTCCAGGAGAGGTAGGGGCTGGAGCACAAGACGTGGGGCTGAGACAAGTGGATTTGTTCTGTCTCCAGAAGAGAAGGTGGGGTCTTACTGTGGCATTCAGCTACCTTTTGGTGGGGCATATAAAAGGTGGAACTGGATTCTTCTTGCAGGTGCACAGAGATAGGGTGAGAACCGATGAACACAACACGAGAAATTTGTAAGATATTTAGAAAAGATTTTTCATAATGTAGTTAAACACTGGAACAGGGACCCTGAAAAGTTCTTCAATATCCTGTAGATTTTCGGAACTGAACTGGACAAGGCCTTGAGAAGCTGCTGCAGTTTGGGCCCACTTTAGGTAGGAATTGAACCCAAGATCTCCTGTAATTTATGATAATCTAATGATTCTACAAATTATGATTTTTAAAAACATCCTACAAGGAGCTTCTACTCAGGTATTCCCATTTTCTACATTTCTAACACCCTCACAACTCCCACAGACAGTCTGCCCATTTTTCTGTATCACCACTTCCTTTTGCTTTCTTTAAACATCTCCTTGGTCTTTGTCTCTGTCCTGCATTGTTCTCTGTCTAGAACAAACTTGAGATTTAATATCTAATATACTTTTAATTACTCATGACTGATTCAACCAATTTGGCAGCTGAAAAAAAAACAACAAACAAACCACCCCACAACGAATTCTGTTCATATGGACTTCGAGTGAGAAGAAAGCAATGGCTATAACTCCACCTAAAAACCTGGAATGAATGCTTAAGGTTTATTTGTTATATGAGATTTCTTTTTGCACTGACAGGTGAAAGTTCTTAGGCTTCTGTTAACCCAGTGCTATCCAAAATCCATTTCTTCTGCTGCGGCCACGCTAATTTGAAAACATCTGAGACATTTTACTCGGGCTGATCCTTTCCCCAGTGTAGAAGTAAAATAGCTAACACCTCGTAGGCAGAGACTTGAAGGCTTCTCTAGTTAAGAGGTATCTGCAGTGTGACTTGATAGATTCACCAAGCCAGCATGACCCGACTGTTGGAGCAAATAATTGTTTGTGAAAGGATGGACTGTCTAGACACTCCTTATCTGAAGTAATCCACTCTCTGTTGTCATTTACCACGTCCTGCTTATCTGTCATGGCTTGTTGAAGAATAAGCTGTATAACCCAAAGGTGTATAAACTCTGTAACTGCCCCACTTGGGCTGAGTTCACATCAGCAGAGTCTGTCACTGCTGCTCTCTGTCTTGACTTGATCTCAGTTGTGTCCTGGTTATCCTGTGACACCAGGCAAAGTGCAAGTTGCAGATCTGGTAGAGAGACTGTTCAGAGTTGCACTAAACTCTGGGGGAAATCTGGACTGTAGAGGCAGCACATGAAAGTGCCCGTGGTTTACAGTCAAAGGTGTAATTGCTCCCATCTCTCTACTGTAAGTTAGTATCAGCTGTAGGGTCATTCTGTTTTATTTTCTTAAGTCCATTTTCTCTTGGAGTTACACTAGCCTTAGACCTCTCTGTCCTGCTAATATCAATATGTTTCCTTTACTGCATTTTTGTCACTGTAACTTTTCTTGTCCTCCATGCTGGGAGGGTGAGGAAATATGCACAATTCAAAAAGGTCTCCCTTTGCAGGGAACAACAACAGACACTTGATTGTGCTGATAGTCTGTCTCGTTTTAGAATTCTGGATGGGGCGTCAGTCACCTCACTGTGGGTGTAGTTGGGTGTATGTCTCATGAGTATCACCCCCTTGCCTTGATCACAAGTTGAATAGCTGAGTGTAGTGAGACATGGTCAGCAGGACAATTAAATAACTGTGTGTGATAAGCCTTCGCAGAGGCCACCAGTGAACAAGTGACAGAAGAACAATACCTAAAACTGCTCAAAAAGTATACCATGTTGTCTCTGGGGACTGACTGGATTGACAACTTGTGCTGACATCTGTCTGTAAAACTGCCAGTAATAGAGATATGGGGGGAACACTTGTATGCAGACACTGTGGACACGGAGAACATGAGGTGGAAAGGCTCCATGTTGGTGCCAAGCTGTTAGTTCCCCAAAAGCAAGAGGTAAGAGCAGTTGTCACAACAGCATGGCCCTTCCAGAGTTCATAGTTCCAGTATGCCTTAGGCTGATGGATGCTGGACATCTGTGACACAACTGCTGCACGCTCAGTGAGCCACAACACCAGCAGTAGATGTAACTGCAAGAAGTGGCAAATACCTATAAAGTTTGAATTACATATTGAAACTCCCCAGCTGGTGTCCGAATAGAAGAAACAGAAAACACCTTTACAGTTAGTACAATGTGAATAAAGAAAGTTGCTTTTATAAGGGTTAAGATTACTAGGACCTGATGGCCATTGATTAGCTTGCACCATATTAGTTCTTAGCATGTTTTTTTGTGTACTGGGTCTATACACCTGTGAAAACTTAAGCTATTTGTCACTAATGATGTATAATGCAAGTTAAAGTTTAATTGGATCTATATTGATGTGGTCTGAGCCCAGAGGGTGACTGAGCACCATGCAGCCACTTGCTCACTCCTTCTCCCTCAGGGATGGGGAAGAGAAAGTACAAGAGTCTCAGGGATTGAGACAAGAACAGGAAGGGATGAATGATCCATTATGGTCATGGGCAAAAGACATAGTGGGGAAGAAAAGAATATCAATTTAATTTGAATGTCACCACCAATTAATTTTCCAATCAGAGTAGGACAGTGAGAAATACAACCACATCTTAAAAACACCTTCCCCCACCCCTCTCCTCTTCCCAGGCTCAGCTTTGCTCCCAATTACTCTCCCTCCTCCCCTGCAGTGGTTCAGGGGGGCAGGGGATGGGGGTTATGGTTAGTTCATCACCTGTTGTCTCTGCCGCTCCTTCCTCCTCAGGGGAAGGACTCCTCCCGTTCTTCCTCTGCTCCAGTGTGGGGTCTCTCTCTCGGCAGACAGTCCTCCATGAACTCCTCCCATGTCAGGCCTTCCCACAGACTGCAGCTCTTCCCAACTGTTCCAACGTGGGTCCCTCCCATGTGTTGTGACCCTCGCAGCTGTGGACTACAACAGTTGGGCGTTCCCACAGAGTCCCGGCCTTCTCCATGTGCAGCCCCTGCTCCGGCGTGGGGTCCTCCCCAGGCTGCAGGAGGCGTCTGCTGCCCTGGT